TAGTGATAAGGGGGGGAGAGTTCGTAGTTATCCCTCGCCAGCTGGATGTTGAGATAACAGAGGAACATCTTACTTTTTGGATCAATGCCAAAAACCCTACAATGAATAGCAGGGACGAATGCCCGGAGGTCATACGCGACCTGATCCCGTACGTTCGCATCGATTTTTGATGTGGGATGGTGCAGTCGTCAACCATATGCGACTATAATCAGCTGTTCCAAACTTCCTCATTGGAAGTCACGAAAAAGCGGTGGGTTTTTCGAGAAGTTGTTGATCGTGTAATTACCAAAGAGTTTTTCGTCTTTTTGTAAGTGTTATTGAAGCGTTTGGCCTAGTAGATTGTATTTCAGTATACCCTTCCAGGCTCTGAAGAAGGCGATACTGCTGAAACGTCAGCTAGCGTTGTATTGTATTGTGTTTTTATGGAAGTAAATGTATGCTGTTTAAAAACCTCGCGATTGCTGAACAAGAAAACGACACATTCAGATTCTGAAATAATTGTAAAACTCTGGGCCAAAGGTGTCTGCGGTGGGGAACGAATGAGCTATTGCCCCTTCCCGGGGCTAACTCGTTCACCACCACACCGTGCAGGTCTTTCGTTTCGCCTATCTCTCACCACCTGCTTCTTCCAATCATTTCTTTTTTTTCGTTTTTCTTGTTATAAAACCAATCCTCGCTTGACGTATCGCCCACTACCCTCAACTAAAGAGCGTCTGAAGCCTCGACGTTACCAAATAGCCATTAAGCTGACGGTATTGGTTTCTTAATGTTATAGGATGTGAAGTTCTCACTGTAACTATGGAATATGAACATTGCCAGAACTCTCGCACAATATTTTACGAAGCTGTGCGTAAATATAAGCCAAATGCGCTTTTCATCCTCACCAGGTGAGTGAAAAGAATTTTGAGAGAAAATAAAAAAACTGTGTGAGTGGGAAATTTATGAGAAGACAAATTTATAACGTCATTCTCATGTTTAAAAGTCTGCAACGACGTTGTGGCTCGTGTCTGTTTCCTTGATGAATATGTTTGTTCTATATCTACGCTTGCTTGTTGCTGGATTTTATGAGCTTCACTGAGTGCAGACAATAAATAGGACAGTAAATGATTCTGTTTTTAGGCATACTAAACTAATGGAAACACTAATGACGACGGCAGACATGGTGGTGGATAACGCAGTTGCTGTTCTCGACGATCTGTCGAAAATAGTCACCGACCGCGTTTTCGTCCTCAACGCCATTCCTTACCCAACGCGTACATTCGAGCACGATCACACTGCCGCATTGCGAGCTGGAAAAGTTCTCGACCAAGTGCGTCGATATTTTCAAGTTTTCTCTCATCGACTGCAATGCGGTGTACTAGTTTTCCATACGTTCACACGTCGCCACAGCCCAGAAAACAGTAGATTTGGTTGAATATAATCTCCACCGTATTAATATTTTATCGAAAATATTTTTATAACATGATAGCTTTGTTCAATCCGAACGAGAACGGTCCTAGTCCAGCCAAGTAGAGACAAAGGCCTTATACGTAAATTCTTGAAGATGCGGTAAGCGGTGCCGTGCAAGGCACTTTCAAGCACCTTAATGGAAGCCCATTCGATGCAGGACTTCCATCCAAACCTCCTACTTTTGCGGAGTGGCAAAATTAGAACCTGAACCATTGGGAAAGTTGTACACCAATCCACAATGGTTGGTAATAACTTGGAAACGTTTTTGAACAGCTATCGTAAAATTTCGGGAAGAATTTTTTCGACCTATGTTCAGTGACATCCATAATGATGATAAAGTCCGCAAGCAGCAGTCGGATTCACCCACAACTCGGAAGACTTTCGCGAATGACAGGTGAGAAACAACAAACCGAATGGAGGAAGTATTGGGGTCTGCACAATACGTGATGTTGGGCCTTACAAACGAGTGAATAGATAGATATGATGTATAATACTTTTCTAAACCGACTTTCACCACACTTCGGCCCGAATAACTAATATATCGGTTTAAATTGTTCAGCTTATACAAGGTTCTTATAAAGCCTTAATTCGGTTAAAGCTTAAAGGTCAAGCGATTGAAGGTCCTATAACAACCTTGTATAATCTGAAAAATTTAAACAAAATATGTGTAATATTGGGTTCGACCTCATACTGGATAGATTACTCCTAAGCAACTATAGTGACAGAAGCAGTCTTCTTGCTATGATACTGAAAGAAAAAGGATCTGCTTCGAAAAAGTACGGAAATACTGCTAGAATATCAGGTTTAAGAATTATGATGATATGGGTGATCTGTTGACGCTTGGAAAAGTACGGCTGGAAAAGGACAAGCAGAATTGCTGGGTGAAAATTAAAAATACACTTTCACAATTGAGTTGTTTGATATACAACCAAGCAAACTACATATGGTATTCTTCTATTTAGTTCTTTAACCAGTCACTTTACATTGAATAGAAATAAAGGAGTAATACTCTGTGCGGGGCGAGTAGTATACTGACCAAATCAATATGTGTTAGCTCTCTAAAAAACTTCTCAAAACAATTGCTTCTCCACAACATATCTTCGGTAGTCCAAGGCAGACCGACCATAGGACATCAGCGTCAGTGTGCGAGGGAGTTGAGTTGTTACGAGAATCTGGAAAACGAAAACTCGTGCTACATTTACGACGATTTCCCACGTGACAGTAAAAGACTAGACGGCAAAAAGTAATTAAGTTTAACAAAAGTAGCTAAAATACTGTTTTTCTGAGGTAACTAGAAGATTAGTCTTAAGCATTTTATTTACTGCCTTTTTCTTTTTAATGGCAAGGTATATAGTATAGTGGCGGCTGCGTTGGATGCACTTGCGTGGTAGTGACCGTTGAGCCGCTCACTACTTAGTAGTAGTTCAGTGGTGAGAATATTAGGTTGTAGTAAATATTAGATAGCGTACGGACTATCTGCTAGTTGTTGTTTCTGCTTGACTCTCGAAAGTGGATCTGTTTTGTGATCCTTATTATTTGATGGTTCTGCAATATAGGTATTTACCCTTTGACGTCTGAGACGCTGTGAATTTGAGAGTCAAGAAATAGGTATTGTAGTTTTAGGGTACTACAATTGATCTGTAGGCTATGATTGCCCAATGAACCAACGACTAGGGTTCCACGTGAGAGTTTGGCGGTTGACTTGCTCCTTTTGAGTGCAGCTCCACACAGTGTTGATCTGCTAGCTTGGACGAATTGTATTTGCTCGTTCTTCGCCACGCGGGTCTTGTGGTTGTTGTCTTCACAGCGTAAATCTCAAACTTGGGTAATTAAACCGTTTATACCAATATTATAATAATAACAAAAAGAAGATACTAAAAAACAGTATAAGGGGCGCGTTAATAACAGGATTACCAAAGAAGCGTAAGACAATCAGCAAAGAGATACCTTAAAGTAGGAGAGTAGTTGTATTAGCTATTGTGTTAATATGAGAGAGAGCTTTTATATAAAAGTACAATTTGACTTATAGAGGTGAAGAGCATATGGTAGCGTGGGTACCAATGGGACCAGATGGTTGTTAGCGCTAATGGCATACCGTAATTAGCTACCGTACTAGTAGTGAGGAATGTGAAGAGAAAAGACAATGCTTAAGCCAGTGAGGTGTTATCATACAACAAAACTACAGAATATTGCTTAACTCTTACAGGTACAATGTCATGATAAGTATGTATACTAGGGAAGATTAGTGCCTGTCTGAGAGGTTTTCCTACAATAAAGTACGGTAGCACAATTCTATGCCAAGAGGTGGAAGAAGACGGTATGCGGCGGGAACTGAGATGGCGAGTGGGAGGAAATCCGACATGTGGGCCTCACCAGCAGGACCGCGGTCCTTTTATACTGCCTCAGGGGGCGGGCAGACGGGTACTGTTGTTGACCCTTGCGTCGTCCTCGTATATTACAATTATGGTGGCAAATGCATAAACAATATTGTGTTCCATCTGGTATTGAAAGGATATGATATTGTTTATACCAACGTATCCTTTATTCTTGACATCCTCAAATTGTGGGCAGATGCTGTTTATCGTTGGTGACCGCTCTTATTGTGCTGATAGATGCTAATTATAGTTGGGTGACCCGCTATCGTTGTTGTCGTTGTTGCAGATAATTCCTTGTGTCCCATCTGGCTAGACGTCAATCACTACCAGAAGATATATAGAATAAAGTTACTATAGAGGATATTATTTTCTACTAGATAATGTTTATTGGTCGACTTGTCGACAAGGTATGTTGCGAAATATAACTCGTATATAATGCTGAGATGTTTGCAAAACTCCGGACCGCAGGTGTATGCGGTGGGGGACGAACGTGCTATTGTCCTTTCCGGGGTGTAGCGCACTTCACTACCACACCATCAGGGTCCTTCGCTTTGCCTGTCTCTCAGCTAGTTCTATTGATCTTTTGCCATCAGCAATCACCTGTCAACGGGATTGATCTGGGGAGCCCAAATCGGCATTGAACCCAGTTAAGCTGAGGCCTAGTTATAATCACAATCTTAACCATTTTATTTACTGCCTTTTTTCTAGCTGAGAGACAGCTAAAACGAAGGACCCGGATGGTGTGGTGGTGAAGTGCGTTACTTCCCGGTAAGGACAACAGCGCGTGTTCGTTCCCCACCGCATACACCTGCGGTCCGGAGTTTTGCAAATATCTCAGCATTATATAAAAGATTAGTTTTCCTATTCTAAACTCCACTGTTAAGTGATCCTAGCAGTGAAGTTAAGAATCGGAAAAGTGATCCAGCAAAACATCCATACTATACCAGGTATATCAAACAAACCCACTTAAACTAATGCTGGGTGACTTGGAATACTGAACGGTCGTCTTTTTTCAGTTGAAGTTGTTGACGTTTTCCCTAAAGCGGATATCCTTTGTCATACTCTATTTATGTTGTACACACACCAATGCACACTAGTACTGCCAAACAATGATAGTGATGAACCTGTTATGTGGATACGTGTATATCTTAGCAACGACTGGAACAACAAGAGCACGACTGCTTCAAGACTATTTCGTTACACTCACGGTTCTTAATACTATGCTGGTTACCTCAAGAAGTGTTCAGAATTGCTTAATCAGGGAATTCTTCTCAACTGAGCCTTTCATTTAACGCATATCTTAAGTCCACGGGTAGCGAGTAATGGAACCTGAACAGTTTCCGACCATCTACGATTGAACATCTTTCCTAAAAATACATTATTTATTACTAACTCAAAAGCATTTGGTTGTATAATATATATTTCAGAACAACAAAAGCCTATATTTCCATAGACTAGTTCATTCTCTAGCCTGCTTCAGTGCAGTAGCACCCACTAAAGTTTTCTCATTACAAATCTGCCGATTCCTGGTCAATCATCGAACGAACACGACGTATTGTCCATAGTGTTTACTATCGTTTTGCAGGCGAGTTACATCAACAAAACTGTTAATCTGGAAATGGTGCGTGCGACAGTGAACCGAGTAGTCTCCTTGTGCTCGAAGTGCACAGTGATTGACTATGCGCAGGTGTTCGCCGTGAACGGAACGTTCCATATGTTTGACGACCAAACTCATCTCGCCTATCTCAATGGCTATTGGCACTTCACAAGCCATGGACTCAATCAGCTTCGACCATTTTTTAAGCAAATTTGCGACAAAGTCTCCTATACGAATTCGAATAAACACTAGCGTTAGAATCCGTGTGATTTCTATAGCTAATAAAGATATTTAGAAGCTGCTTTTTGTTATTCAGCAATTGTATTCATTTGCATTACTCAGAAACACAATCCAGAGTTCCAACTGGATCTTTAGTTTTCATGTCCGATCTATTTGTGCTTCAAACTTTAGAGAAATTTTGTTTTTTAATTTGGTGAAGAGGATGAAGCTCTTGACATTATCAGTGCATGGGAAGTACCATTCCTTTGACTTCATCGTTAGAAGCGAGTGGATGCATATCTGGCCTATAAAATAACTTGGGGTGGCTTATCGATGCATTGAGTCAGTGTTGCTATGCATCCAGATAGGTCTGGTACAAACTTCCCGACTCCGGAAAGACAGAAGGATTGGTGAACTTAAAACGCCGAATCGAAGCTAACGACTACGCTACACACGCTTTTTTAATTTGGTAGAAAAAAGAAATTTTGGCCTGTTGGAAATGAACTAAAATTTCCGAAAATTTTTGTATCAAGTGTTAATATTTGCAATGAGATGAGATATTCTTGTTAAAACGCCGAAATGCTATTTGTACGTTCTTAGTGAAGGCGAACATCCACCAGTAGTTTAAAAAAGACAGCTTTAGTGAATTGAGAAATGTTCAATAGTATTCGTAAGAGAAAGGAGAGTCAGCGTCTGATTACGGCTCATATATGTTCTAAAAGGTTGCCTGGATAGCACAAGAGACACTTGCTTCGTTTTCGGGCGATTTCTTACCAAAGGCGAAAATGGTGGAATGCGATATAAGGGGTTGGACCTTGAATGGCTTTTGCCAAAGAAGCTGAAAAAAGCAACAACACAGAGAAAAAAATAAAACACTTAATACGGGTGCGTGTGGCGCAGTGGCTGGAGGTGCCCTACAACACACGTGGGATCGGTCCATGCCCCACCAAGTCTTCCATCCTTCCGGAGTCGGATTGGTGCTAGAGACTTGTCTGGGATGAAGGCAGCACTGGCTCGATACATCGGCAGGCCACCGCGAGTCGTTGTAAAGCCCAGATATACATTCGATCATTTCCAACAATGCCAAATGAAGTCGAATGCATGACGCATCCCTCAGGGATTGATCAACCCTGACAGCTTTACACTTTAATGAAGGTTTCAAACGTCAGTGGTCTAACTATGTATTGCCTCATAACCACTCTGTCACCAATCACAATATATCTGGTATTGAACCGCAAATTTTACCCCGGTGTAAAACCAAAACTAAACCAGTGTTTATTTTCTTGAGTACTTGCACGACTCGTCTTCTCGAGTAGTGTGGATCCCAGCACATTTTTTACTTATTCCTCTCTTCGCGACCGTCGTCTGCGGTGATTCTTGCATGGTGGGGACTGCAATTTACACGCCGTGATATGTGAGCACAGCTAATTGATTTTCGTTGCAAAGACGTCCACCCATCCTGAATGTGGTTCTAGAGGACGTTTGCAACTTCGTGAAGTTCACTCTACGGTTTTTTCATCTGTTTAAAAAGGTGCTAAACTAATAATATTCTGTACTATTTATGGATGGAATTTGTGAGCTGATTCTAAACGAAACGAACAGATACGTGCCACAAATCATATGTCTTAAAAAGCCACCTTGTTGATGAAAGCAGAAAATATTTATTGGACTCTAGCTTAGAGTAGGAATCACTAAACATCCACAGTTAGGTGACGATTGAAGTTCCAGTCCTTCGCTTCTAGATTGTCTCATTGCACTCCATGTTTGGGTAAGAAGTAGATTTCGAAATCCATCGTCTGACCGGCACTTTGTTGATAAAGCAATGGGCTGCCGACGAGAGTGCTTGTGGAAGAAAGAGCCGATAACCGAGCTCAGAATATGATTGATAGGGAATGCAACAGAGTATGAAAACCTAGAAAATACATGCTTATTAACGGAACCCACGCGCCATTCACAAGTATCTCTACGGCAGTGTAACGCACAAGAGCAGAAAAAATACGAAATCATGATATTCAGATTTCAGAGTAGAGGTTACATTTGCAAAATATTGATTCCTTCCAGTAGGGAATACTCTATGGCTAACTCAATATCTAATGATGAGGCTCATATATGATTTTCTTGATGAAGACAGCTTTGCTACTGCGTTGTACACAAGTCTTCGAATGGTTGAGTTGTTGCCAACATAGGACGGACAAGAAAGAACTTCCCAAAGAGTTCATCCACCCGGAATTTAGGAGAAAGCAATGGTCAAACATACCGTCAGTGGTATAATAGTGTTGAAGAGCAAAGACGAGAAAGACAATATGATAATATTCACAATACAAAACGTTTTCCTTTCTTTTTCACAAAGAACTCGGCCTATTGGAAGCCGCAGTCGAGAAAAACTACTCGCGAACATAATCGGTTGAAGAGCGCATAGAAGAGCTACAATAAGCACATGTAAAAACTTCGTTAAACAGCTCGAAGATGAACGCTTACCTGTCTGAAGTGGCGTTGACTTCTCATTTCCTTGCTACTGGGCTAAATATGACCTAGCACCCTACGTCAAGCCAGACCAATTAAATTGGCACGGCAAATAGCCCCTTCTAATGGCTACGAAATCGTAGCTGCTGAAATAGATGTAGAAGAAAGGCCACCTCTCCAAACGATAATACCAGCAACAATAAGGTCCCGTTTATCCTGCCTTTCATTTCCAACCAAATTAATGCTGCTATATAACGCTGCTTGAAAAAGTCAGGACTTGCGAATGCGGTAGGTGCGATTGAAATACCACCGGACACCAGTATGAGTCAACGTGCACTGATACCCCAAGCGAGGATTTTCACATGAAATTAAGAGATCAGCGTGAGTCGAGTGTGACAACGGTAACTGGTTCACAGACGATTTCCACTTGAAACTGCTCCAGTGAAGAAGCAGTGACGGTTTAGCCAGGAAACCGTAATGGGAATCTGTGAGCGAGGTAGATTGATAGCTTACATACGATTTCCACGTGAAATAGTGTGAGTCAGTGAGCACTGATACTCTACGCGACGCTTTTCACGTGGAACAGACGACATTAACGTGAAACAAGGCGGGCGGGGTGGTGAAGATGATTGCGTCATTGACGATTTTCACGTGAAACAAAGATGTAGCGGAGAAGAGTTTGATTTAAAAAAAAAAAAGAAATGCTCCCGCACAGGATGCCGAAACACCAGCACAGAAAATTCTTGTGGACTTTTGGATAAATGCCAAGAACTCTAGAATGGAAAGCAGGGAGGAGTGTCCAGATATCACACGTGATCTAACCTACTATCTTGGAACTAACTTTTGATATGGGGTAATGCAGTGGTCAACCATGTGCGACTCTAATGGGATGTTCATCCTCTCTGCAGAGCATGTAAAAAACGGTATTTTTTTCGAAAAGCTGTTTATTATTTGATTGCTCTTTAGATTTTCATCTTTTCGTATGCGCGCTATTACCCTTTCCATGGATTAACGCGTTCACCACCACACCATTTGGGTGCATCGTTTCGTCTGCCTCTCTTTCTGTCGATCAGTCCCACCAGCGATCACAGTCAACGGGATTGATCTGGGGTGCCCAACTCGGTATTGAGCCCGGTTAAGCTGAGGCTGTAGTTGAAATCACTGTGTTAACATTCTCTTTGCTACCTGGTACGATTTTTCACGGCAGAATATGATCAAACCCGTTGACAGGTGATTGCTGATAAAACTAATGGACGAAAATTAGCTGAGAGACAGGTGAAATTAGGGATCCGCTTGGCGTTGTGGTGAACGCGTTAGCCCCCGGAAAGTGTAATAGCGCGTTCGATCCCCACCGCACACACTTGCGGTTCGGAGTTTTGCAATATTTCACAATCACTATCGTTGTATTTCGCATATTACCCTTCCGCGAAAAATTGTAGTAGGCAGCAAATAAAAAGTCGGCACTTAGAAACTCAGTGTTATAATCTATTCATGGTTTTACCACACCGTAGCCCCTTATCCCACTATCCATTGGTCAACTGTAGTGAACACGAGTAAAATTCTTTATATTTAACGGCTTAGGTCTGAACTGCTCTCCTCGCTTGCTCTTCAGACACAAACATCATCCACTTTTCGTATGATGTCCTTCTTTAATGTTTTCACTGAGAATATAGCTACGGATAGCTTGCTGGGTTCTGTTTTGGCATAGAACTACTCTTGGTCAAGCTTTGTGACAAAAATGTGAAACCTTTCTCAGCTTTTGTGACCCTAATAGAGAACTGAATCCTCACTCACGATAAAGCGAAGGCTCATTGGACTGTTATTCCTTTATCTATTTATATGACACCGACAACAGACATTGTGCCGACTATAGCACTTCTTTCATTTGATTCGTATCCTCGCATTAATCATCCACAAAGGTCATCTGACTAACGTATGGATTCGGCTCAAACTCGAGGATTTTGTCTTCACCATAGATGTCAATGAGTGCTGTTCCAGTAGACTCGCTCTAGAATCATTGTGTCGCTATACCAGAGTGTTCCCACTTTTCACCACAGGCTCTTCTCTGTCGATCGAAGAAAGTTTTTCCAGATGAGTCTGGTACCCATGTGAGCTATGGACGGTTTTCTCGGTCAGCGAGGGCTCTAGCCAGAGATCATATGGGTATTTTATGGCATCTCTAAGTAGTGCGCTTTCTCTATTCTATTGAAGCGGTATGTACCACGAAATAAGCAGTGTTTTTTCGATGCTGGAAAATAATCCTTTTCAGGGCTGACATAATCATCACTCACTCCATTGCATGAGTAATTCCTCTCGGTTCATCATGATTTCAAATTTAGGCGAAGAGGACTGGATTGTTTCTGAATGAGGCGTGGAATGAGTGTCATCATCAACCAAAAGTTTCGGTGTCACTTCCGTAGTGTTTTTACTATCGTTCAGGTAATATTATTTTGTTATTTACTGGTAACCTAGTAGTAAAGTATAAAACGTGTTAGTAGTTTTTTTCTTATGATGGCCTTTTTACAGATTTAACTTTGTCTTAAAGGCTTAAATCTTAGAGAAGCAAATTA